CTTTGGAAATCAAACCCATTGATTAGTGACCAATATAAGGACCAATTAAACAAACTAATGGAGGAAAAACTAAATTATTTTTGTTATTATGACTGCTTCGTCGTTGTTATCGAAAGCTTGCAGAACTGAAACGGCACAATAACACAGATATATGATTAGAAATGATATTTCAGACATAAATTAAACAGCCATCACTGCAGTGGCAAAGGTCAATGACCTTTACTATGCGAGAATCGTAAATCAACAAAAGACAAATGCAGCAGTTCCATAGGGGCCAAAAGTTGAATTTTTCTATTGAGGGGTCGTCACGTACCAGCTCGACATCGATAGCATTTGCGTAAAAAAATCAACATATCCAACCACAATCCTGAAAGAAAGCCAGATCGGAGTTGCCATGCTACAGAAGACGCAGCTAAAGGAACACACTAGGATCAGCCAGATATAAAGCATTTTGGTTTCCAGTGGTTTGCAAGCGCCAACAACACTAAATCTGACTTAGCCACCTGCACTGGAACAGGTGAGCAGAACATGACACAAGGTACCAGCTAAAATTTGACAGAAAACCACAAATGCTGCATTTCAGCTTATGTCGTCAGAGTGGGAGCAATCGTCAAAATGAACATAGGTTTTTCATCGACGCATTAAAGAGTTTCCTTAAATAGCAGCTGTATTTTCAACGTAACAGTAAGTTATGTGCTTTCGCATAGGCGTCGAAAGGATTGGCCTTATGAATTGTTGCTTCTGCCGATCAAGAAATCAGCGCCTTCTTCAATTCATGGAAAAACGGCACTGACGAACAACGGAAATGCGTTCTAAGACAATAATCTGTGGCACATATTTCGTTCTGGTTAATAAGATAGCTAGATGGCTGCAAAGATAGCTAAATAACCAAAACTGCTGCAAAGATCCGGACCTGGCATTAACCGCGTAACGCTCAGAAAATGAGATGGAAGCAGCACAAGTTGCAGATCGCTCTGAGGATAAACAGCATCGACGAATTTCAATGACAAGTGGAGCAACGGTACTCACGAATAGTTTCCTAACTGATGGATTGTTTTTTATCAAGGATATCAAGAATATTTCAATATGTTATATTTGCAAGTTATCGACATCGTTATGAAGAGTAGATCAAAGGATTTTCAGAGCAGCCGTTCATCACAATTTATAGAAGCAGCTGTCACTCTGTCCGTTCCTGTCGCAGTTTCCGTGAAAATTTCCAACAGCCACTGCCCCACGTTGCCTAGCATTGTCCGTGGCGGCGAGACTGAGTGACACTTCCTTTGCAGAAACTACTTCTGCTGTTCTCTCACGTCACCAAGCGGAATCGTGCATGACCATCGAACAGGATACATCCTGTAGGAAGAAAACATAGTGAACGCAACAATGCTCTTATTTTCTGCACAGAAAACAAAGTTATATAGATATTACTGAGATGATCGAAGGGGTGAGTGGCACAACGGGTTAACAGTTTACTGTACACTTTAGACTTTACGCACGACGCAAATTTTTTCTCATAAATTGTTTATTTTTTAAGCCATGAAGCCACTCTATTTGTATTACGATACAACCAACAGAAAAACGGGTAGCAGGACACTGACCTACGAATACTAGGGGACAATATCATGCTCTGCTATGGTCATTCCAACCCACGTGCGAAGTACGACCATGCTGTCTGATGTGTAGGTCTCGATCCACCTGAGAGACAACAAAAAGTGTATGGTAAATTTAAATCAGCGCAAGGTCTACTGGTAAATGTAGAAATTTTGAAAATTTCCAGGCAAAAATAACCCGGCATATGGGTTTACGAGCAAATGGCTAGTCTTTGATGCCGCTCCTAAGAATTCTTCGAATTTGTGCTATAGAGTCGCATCGTTCTACATGCTTTTAGTAACCTGGAAAGCGTTTTTAATCCATCTATGCAAAATCGCGTTTCGACAAGCATTCTAACGGTGATGAAGCCTTGCGCCCTTGTACTGCAGATGCTAAAACGCGTTGGAACCATGGCCTGTTTAAACATTCCCCTAGGCTATTAAAAAAGGCGACGGTGAGACTAGGGCTGGAAATCCGGAAAACTGGCAGTCTTGAAATTTTATTTTAATTTAGTGATGCATTTGTGGATTCATGCTCTTTCCGGCCTGCTTAATGCATTTACTACTCGTCGGAAGACGCGAACGGCTGAAATTACTGAGTAAGCAGAAGAGAAGTGATGAGTTCGAACTATTATTGCTATGTCTAATACTGTCACTGTTTCGTTAGAATAAGGAACGCGCGAAACCAGAGCAACTTGGATCGATGTCAACTAAATGATGACTGTAACTAGTTAGGTTTACCCCAGGAACAGTTGATTAATGGCCAAACAAAGATATGCTAAAAGTAATAGTAACCTGCAACAACCGTCTATCAAACAAATTAGGGAATTTTCCAAAATGAAATCTATCAATGCTGTGGTACTATTTTAACATTGCATTAGTTTCAATTGATAGCATATTCGAAACCTAAAATAAATTCCGCTTTCTTGTAGAAGGTAAATTTTACAGAAATTTTCAAACACTGTATTTGTCCTTTACCTTCTACATGACGTGTATCCGCACGGCAGTGACGACGCTGCTACTCGCCGGTTGATACGAAAACATTTTCTTTCTCGCAAGTATTCAGCGATTTGATAGATCAGTTCCTGGAGACTAATTTCCATAATCTGCATTTACCCGTATTCCTCTTGGCAGTAAATTAGCTGTTTGTAAGAAATTCTGCAGTTTATCGATATTTTAATCATCTCAGTGCTGCTATCAGTCGCGATGAAACGAAATCTTCCCTATCTGCTCTGAGGAATGAAATCACTTGTGTCATCTTCGATTTGCAAGCTTCTTTCTTTTCCTCCTGTGCAGTAGCAACGACGTACATAATAGATGAGTTAAAAAGCCTGTGCTACATCCGTTTCTTGCTTACCTACAATGCTTTTCTTCGTGTAATGCATCGCAATGGGCTGTGCTTATTGGCAAAATGTTTGGGTTGTTCAAATATGAAGTAAACAAATGAGGGCCATTTGCAAATGGACCTATTCCGAGTTAGTCCTCAATAGCTCTGTACGGCTAATCATCATCATCATCATCATCATCTTCCATCGCCGCTTCTCCTTTCGGGTCGCGGAGGCAGACGCGT